AAAAAACAATGAACACCGAGTAAGCGTTGTTACCTGGGGGAGATGAGTCGGTCGCCAGACCGCCTGGAATAGACTCCGGTCCGCCGGAGAATGGGTGATGCCCCGAGATGACCAGGAGGCATCACTGGATGGGAGGGTGCGTCGTGGCGTCAACATCTAAGCCACCAATTCATCCAATTTGTCGTCCAAATCTTTGTTTACCTTTTTCATGTAGTGATGTGAGTTTGTCAGCGATAGGTGTTAGTCGAGACGTCCGATATTTTGTCGGTATTCGATTGTGCGGACTGCGGGCATCGGGTCGAACCCGCCCTGGGCCACTCTGAGCTAGCCCGGCATTGCCCTGGCAGAAAGCAGTTCCGTAACAAATCTTTAATGAAGTCTCTAATTAATGCGCCAGTGTCGTGCCCGTATTAGCGGCGAAATACATCAGGAAATCATCTTTATTTGTTTATTTGTTTACAAGCAACAAACAGCTGTTCAGTATTACCCTTTTCATGGCGTTTTATGACTTTTCATAAATTTTGTTGGTCACACTGGTTACCGAACAATTTAAATAGCGATATCGCTGTATTACGTGTTACAGCGGATTTTCGTCGTCAGAGTACAAGGCTTTAAAGTTTTACATTCCCAGTTTTACATTTTCTCTACATCTACATCCGATAGTTTCTATGGCAACTATATGATACAGTAGTCCGATTTTCATAAAATGTATACCAAAATTCTGTAATATTAAAAAAGGCGCATATCTCAAAAATGATGACAATACGTAAAAAAAACAACTAAGTTATAGGGTAAGGTGGGGTAAAGCCGACAGTATGGGTAAACCCGACATCCCTCTGTTGTCGAAAATCGGAAACACTACGCAAACTTATATTAGTGTTGTCGTGTAGAGCATCGAAAACAATGAAAATGGTGGTATGACAGCATTTTATTAGTCAACATTGAGATGGTCAAACGACAACAAGTTTGTTTTCACAATTTTGACTTTCATTTTTGTGCATAATTAATTGCAGGATATTTCTTTTTGTCAAAGTTATCGCATGAAAAGGTAAGTGGATTTAGATTCTTTGAATAAAGTCCTACAAAGTGCATATAAGTCTGGTTCATTTTTTTTTTCATAATTTCTTTTTTAATTGCTTTTTTATGAAAAATTACGTGGTGGGGCAAATCCGACCTCTAAATAGTGAGGTAAATCCTGCCGCAAAAAAAAAGCCAAAAAAACAACAATCACACCAAAACCATCGACATCGCAGCCAACCAGACGTTCAACTCGAACCAAAAAACGCCAGCAAGCTATTTGAGCAGCGAATCAGATGATACTGATGAATTATTTTGCTATTTTCTTTTTTTTAATTCTATTATCTTTTATTGCCATTATATAACATAACATTGATTGATTTATCATTGCAAAACCTATATTTAGGTTATATATGTACTAAATCAGCCAAAAACATAGGCGGTCGGGTTTACCCCATCATTTTTGAACATAGCAAAAATGAACTTTTTCGTAAAACGCTTGTATCTCAAAACTTTTCAAAGGTATGAATAAAATGCATAGAAAGTTGCGCAAAAGTCCAACCTTTAATTTGGTATATATAACGACTTGATCCGATGTAAAATAAGCATTTTATAGCCAAAACCATTTACTAGGTCGGCTTTACCCCACCTTACCCTATATTTTTATACCCCTGCAGGGTATTATAATTTCAGTCAGAAGTTTGCAACGCAGTGAAGGAGACGGTTCCGACCCTATAAAGTATATATATTCTTGATCAGCATCAACAGCCGAGTCGATCTAGCCATGTCCGTCTGTCCGTCTGTCCGTCTGTCCGTCCGTCTGTCCGTTTCTACGCAAACTAGTCCCTCAGTTTTAAAGCTATCTGAATGAAACTTTACATATAGTCTTCTATGTACTCTCACTGCTATATATGTCGGAACGGGCCGGATCGGACGACTATATCATATAGCTGCCATACAAATGTTCGATAAATTTTTAGAAAAAAATTATAAATTTGGCCATTATATATTATTTCTGAATTTTGGTAAAAATTTTATGAAAATCAGACTACTATATCTTATAGCTGCCATAGGAACGATAGGGAAAGTAAAAGAAAAATTATAACTTCGTTGTTTTTTAACGTATTTTCATCTAATTTGAAACATGAGCTTCTTGTATTATTTCAAAATTTTGGTATAAATTTAATGAAAATCGGACTACTATATCTTATAGCTGCCATAGGAACGATAGGGAAAACGATTGAAAAAATTATAACTTCGTTGTTTTTCAACGTATTTTCATCTACTTTGAGACATGAGCATTTAGTATTATTTCAGAATTTTGGTAACGATATTATGAAAATCGGAGAACTATATCATATAGCTGCCATAGAAGTGATCCGTAGATGTAGAGAAAATGTAAAGCTGGGAATGTAAACTGTAACAGACAGAATCTCAAAAATTATGCAAAAATGTTGAAAAACAGCAAAGTTATACTTTTTTTTCTAAAATTTTTTCGAAAATTTGTATGCAAACTTCTGACTGAAATTATAATACCCTGCAAGGGTATAAAAATAATTTTTTCCAAGGTACAACTTTATTTATTTGAAACACTAAGATTCTCCACTTAACGAAGGGCAAATATTATTATACAAATAAAGGGGCCCATCCACAGTAGAACTTGTTGGCCGAGCATGTTGAGCTCGACGAAATTTTCATCGTTAGTGGTAGTGCTCGTGTACAAATTTCGTGTTTGTCGAGCCGCTCGAACGAAATAGAAATCATTCTATCTAGCTTGTGTTCGCAACAACATGCTCGACAATGGATGGCAACGTTGGCACGAACATCACTTGAAGCAAAAGCTTGTAGCGACAACACGTAGTACCGGAGCTGTAAAATGTCAAAACAATTTATTCAAGAATTTATTTATTGCTTGCAAAATGAGCAATCTTTGTGGCACACAAAAAGGATCCGAGTTCCTGCAGAAGGCAGTAGCTCATTTGGACAACATGAACGCCAAGAAACCAAGGGACGAAGCTGACATTTATGCTGAAGGGTGGGCTACAATGTTCAGGGAGCTAAGCAAGGAGCAGCGGCTATACCCTAAAAAGGGTATAGATGAGATCCTCATGCAAGGCCACCACTCTTTCATCCACATATTGTGCTTCCGTTTTGGCGCTTCCTCTTTCTTTTTTTCTTTTCGAAGCAAACATTAATTGCCAAAAGTGCACAAAAAATATATTATCTATCGCCATGATTTTTTTGTTTTTTTTTAATTATTTTTATTTGAGCAAATACATAAAAATAAAGATAAAAACTTAAATAAAAAATATTTTTAAAAAATTGTTTTCATTGAAAAAAACCAAATTTTTCACTTTGATACCCTGTAAAAAAGGGAATGAGTGGGCGTGGCATATTTTCCAATAAATATGTAAATTTTTCAACAATTTGCTGTCAAATGGCGTTTAAATTATTTTATTATCTTATTTGGTTCAAAAGATATATGCGTCGTCCGTTGCCATGTTCACTTCTCAAAGATTTCCCAGCAAATGATGTTTGGAAGCATGTTGGCACTAGTTGGTGGCAAATGAAATTTTTGCTCGACGAGCGGCTCGGCCAACATGTTCTACTGTGGATGAGCCCCTTAAGGCACAGATCCCTGCTTTCTGAACTACAATATTTCATCTATCCTATAAGATTATGGAACCAATTACCAAACTATCTAAGAAATATTAGCAGTGCCGCGTAATTTAAGGCAAAACTTATTGCACACTTACAAGAACAAAATGTCACATAAAATGAAACAAAGCAACCCTAGTTTTTAATTAAAAGTTTTGTAACTAATCATATCTAATGAACTGATAAGTAACTTGTCCTGTGGGACTAGCGCATTAACTTATATTTTGTACTTGTAGCGTTAGGAAGAACATCTTAAAATTAATAATAATAATAATAATAATTATATCCTTTGGTGAGGGCCTTCCTTCTTACGACCGCGTTGCCGCTTGCTCCCCTGTGCGTCCTTACAGGCGTTCTCGGCTGAGCGTTGCCTTTGGTTAGCAAGCGTCACTTCCACCTTTATGGCGAATCCGCCCGTCTAGATCAGAACCCTGCCCTCAGCGATCCTTTTCTCGGCCCAGGTAAGCTTTACCTTCTCCTCTGACGATAGGGGGGCTTTTTTCTGGAGCCGACACTGGATGCGAAGGGCAGCCTTATATTGCGCCTCATCCCATCGCTTGACCGCCGTCTCTGCGCGAGGAGTTGGTGCCAGCGAGCGGAGATGGCTTTCTTCCTCCACTTTAGAGAGCTGCACGCTCTCCAGGTCCGAGTCTGTGTCGACTATGGCACCTGAGCGGCTTAGCTTCCCCTACTTTTTTGTTCTTGTAGCAGTAGCGTTGCAACTGACATTACCTGCTCCCGTCACATCAGAGGTATAACCGCTGGCGACACACAGAGAAAATTGCACCCCCGCGTGCCCGCCAGTGGTAGCGGTCACGCAACCCAGCCCCGATTTCTTCCCTTAAACCCTCCAGAATGGTATATTTTTCGAGGGAGCCACCCACGTGCGTTTAATCCTGCTGCTAGGCCAAATTAATTTCCATCGGCGGACTATACCTTGACAGGCCCTATATAAAGCGAGCCGAAGCCCTAGCCTCTAGTATAGTCACTCTTCTACAGTTCGGTTCACTCATCCGCTTTCCCTTAGATGTCTTTCGAGTCATAAAATAAATCTTGGGTGACTTTCGAATCGGGCAACACATTCTCTCTCTTTGATGACTTTCGAATCTGACAATATTATCTTTCTTATTCTCCTTCATAATCTTTTGGTCTGTCATTCAGTATCTCGTCATTTAGTATCACTCGAATTTTTTTAAAATAAATTTTATTATATTAATATAATTTTTTTATATTAATATGTGTTATCACCCATGTAAAATTAAATTTTATAAATATCTTTTATCAATATAAATTAACTTAAAAAATATAAATATTTATCGTTATAGTAAATTGCTATTAAAGGATACACATGCCTGTTTTTATCCATATTACTCATCGACCAATATTGACCGGATTGTGTCTTCAGGATATAGATACAGTCAGTCCAAAGATGAGCTAACCCAGAGGAAAGTATAATATAATTAACTCTTTTGCTTTTTATTATACCTTTAAAGAATATTATAATTTTAGTCAGATGCAACGCTGAGAAGCAGACGGTTCCGACCCTATAAAGTATATATATTCTTGATCAGCATCAACGGCTAAATATATCTAGATTTGTGCGTCCGTCCTTTTGTTCATCTGTCCGTTTCTACGCAAACTAGTTCCCAACCTTTTTTATTGTTATTCTTGGTGTTGTTGACCAATTTCAATAAAATAGTTTTTATCGCGTAGCTTGTCCTATGCTGAAGCTGCCCAAGAAGCAATGCGAAAGATTACTATTGGAAATGCAATTGGCACCGTATTGATCTACATTCATATATGATGGCCATAAAGACATCGTATAATGTAACGTCTCTAACGATTGTCCTTTTTTTCCTTCTTCTGCCCACCACTATCGCCAACGAATGTGTAAAACTTAATCTCTGTATTAATTATCCTAAATAAAACTATTATTCACTACTAATTCAATCTAAATTACAACAGGTTATGGGCCGCAGCACCCTTCCACTGCGCCAGAAAATAGTTAGCAGAAGGATATTGAACAAAAAGTGAGATTAAATGGCAAATTTCAATTTGTAGTGAAATTGCCGACGCGCACATATATACACATACATATGCATGTGCGAGAATTTGAGACTTCTGGGGACAAGACTGAAGGCGTCTAATTCGCGATCGAGAAAAGAAGCGTGTTCGTTGCTTGTGTAGCTCCGTGAAATAATTTGCTTGTGTAGCAAAACTAAACGCAAATTATAAAGAAATGAGTATCGCTAGTATACGCAGAGAGCCCTTGGGCAAAGATAATTTCGACACCTGGAAAATACAAATGCAGGCCTTGTTAGTCAAGAACGACTCGTGGAAATATGTGAACGGGACTCATTTAAAACCCGAAGCAGATGACACGCAGTGGATAAACGAAGATACAAAGGCTAAGTCCGATCTCATTTTGGCCAAGTCAACATCGGAACTAAGGCATACAAAAAACTGCGAAACTTCAAACGATGTATGGAAAAAGCTGCATAGCACTTACCAGTCTAAGGGGCCAGCCCGTAAAGCCGCACTATTGAAATCCCTGATCCTACTAAAAATTAATGCAGGCGGAGACATGAGAAGCCACATAGATATGTTTTCCGACATAGTAGACAAAATAAACGAAGTTGATCTCATGAATATTGACGATCTGTTAACCATTTTGCTACTGTACAGTATCCCTGAGGAATATGAACAGTTTCGAATCGCGATTGAAACGCAGGAAAACTTAATCTCAACGGAGGCACTTAAAATAAAGTTGCTAGACGAATACGAGGCGAGAAAAAGAAATAAAAGCGAGTCGACGCCGGGAGCATTATTGGCACACAAGAAGTATAATAACAGCAAACCGAAAGAATTAAACACTAATCACTAATGCTCACAACAAAATATGTTCGTGAATCTTGAGCCTGCAGAAGGCCCGAAGCTCAAACTGACAAATGATGAGGCTACAGACATAAAAGGATATGGATCCGTGCAGTTCTCGCCAAACAACAAGTTCACCGCTAGCCTGAAGAATACGCTCTATGTGCCGGATTTAAGGACCAATCTCTTATCGGTTTCAAAAATATGTGATAACGGCTTCAATGTTGTTTTCAAGAAGGAGAAAGCTGAAATAATTAGAGCTACAGGAGGAGAAATAGTGTTCACCGCTCCTCGCAAATTGGACTTATACCAGATTGAAGAAAAACACGAATGCAGCCAAATCGCTGCAGGTAAACAAAACAGCATTAAAGAATGGCATGAACGTTTTGGCCATCTTAATGAGCCGGACCTAAAAGAACTAATAAGAAAAGGTAAAGTACTAGGAGCCAAAGTAAACCTCAAGGAGACTCTTCCAATTTGCGAAATATGTATCAAGGGGAAGCAGTGCCAAAAGCCGTTTCCAGTATCAAATTCAAAAGCAAGATCCGTACTAGAACTAATCCACAGCGACGTATGCGGTCCCATGCGTGTAAATAGCCACGGCGGCAGCCGCTATTTTTTGACATTCATCGATGATTTTTCAAAATGGTGCGAGCTCTATACCATCAAAAGCAAGTCTGAAGTGTTCCAGAAATTTAAGGAATTCAAAAACTATGTTGAACGGCGAACTGGAAGGAAGATCAAAACAATCAGGTCAGATAACGGTACAGAATACACTAATAATGAGTTCAAAAGGTATCTTGCAGCCCAGGGAATAAAGCACGAGTATTCTGTAGAATATACTCCTCAATAAAATGGCACAGCCGAACGTAAGAACCGGACCCTTGTTGAAATGGCTCGCTGCCTGATGTTGCAGACTGCACTTCCTGCGAGCTACTGGGCTGAAGCAGTAAATAAAGCAAACTACATAAGAAACAGATGTCCTTCAAGGAGCCTTTGTGGAGAAACACCCTTCAAGCTGTGGAACAATCGCATCCCAATTGTAAGGCATATGCAAAAATTTGGTCAAATTGCATATTCATTGGACAAACGATCGAAGAGTAAATTCAGCCCAAAATCCAAGAAATGTGTATTCGTTGGATACTGCACCGATGCCAAAGCTTATAGGCTGTACGATGTGAAAAACCAAACGTTGATTAAGCACGAATATAAGTTCGAAGAGTTCATTGAACCTCAGATCGATGTCAACATTGAGCCGGTAGCAGACGATCAACCAGAAAATGACCAAGATGACAACGAAAGCATCCAACCAGAAGATCCTGAGTCAGAGGACAATGAGCCAGACGATAGACAGCCAGTAAAACGTAGTCCTGGAAGGCCAAGGAAGCTGTTAACAGGTAAACCAGGAAGACCCAGATTAATTTAAAATCAAATACTTGCAGACCAGGTCGATACACCCAATCAGCAGTCCGACTCAGAAGATGTGTTCTACGAAGCCACTTCACTTGCAACGAACCCAAAATAACTAACTGCGAGCGCAGCACTTAAAGGTACAAATGCCATCGAATGGAAGGAGGCGTTAGTATACGAGTACAGGTCTTAGAAAATGAACAATACCTGGGAAGTTGTTGATCCGCAGAAAAACCATAGGGTGATAGGGTGAAACGAAATGGGTACTTCGAACAAAATACTTACCCGACGGAAGGGTAAATTGCCGTAAAGCTCGCCTGGTTGCTGAAGGATTCACCCAACGCGAAGGCATTGACTACGAGACCTTCTCCCCCGTGTCCAGAATGAGCTCGATTCGAATTGTAATACCTCTAGCTGCGGAACTCGGACTGGATCTTCATTAATTCGACTTCAACAGCGCCTATTTGAATGGAGATATTGAGGAAGAACTATACATCAGCGTCCCACCTGAATTCGAAGAAGTCTTGACAGCTAAAGAGAAAAGGATGTATGGACCTGAAAAAGTGTGCAAGCTAAAAAAGGCTTTATATGTCCTTAAGCAGAGTGGACGCCATTGGTACAAGAAGCTAGATAGCAAACTCAAAGAGCTGAACCTTAAGCCACTCGCCGCCGACCAATGCGTGTACCTGAAAAATGAGCAAAACGGAATCCTGATCGTGTCGCTTTATGTAGACGACCTCATAATTGCGACCAATAATACCCAAATGCTTTTACAATTGAAGCGCGAATTGTCCAACAAGTTCCAGATGAAAGATTTGGGTAAGCTATCGTATTGCTTGGGCATCAAGTTCAAGACAAAGACAAAACGGAGTTTACCATGGGTCAGCCAAAATATATCGCAGATATTCTCAAACGGTTCAATATGGAGAATTTTAAGCCCGTAAATACACCAATCAACACGAATGAGAAATTGTTAACTGAAATGTGTCCCAAAACCGAAGACGAGAAAGAAGATGTTGCCAATGTGCCGTATCAGAGTTTAGTTGGAGCCCTAATGTGGTTGGCAGTATCAACGCGCCCAGATATTGCATTTGCAGTGAGTGCACTAAGTCAATACAATACTAACTTTGGAAAACAACATTGGATTGCTGCGAAGAGGGTATTACGTTACCTAAAAGACACTCAAAACTAAGACCTTGTAGGCTACGCCGATGCTGACTGGGCCGCCTACATTGATGATCGCAGATCTTTTTCAGGTTTTGCTTTTAAGTTCGCCGGTGCAGCAATATCCTGGGAATGCCGTCAAGCGCAGAAACAGAGTATATGGCTCTGTCTGACTCCTCAAAGGAAGCTGTTCATCTTAGAAGCTTTCTACAAGAAGTTTTGGGCCAACTGAAGACGACCATCATCTACAACGACAATCAAGGAGCTGGCTGGTGACATCCGCCACCATTTCATCCGAGAGCTGGTTGAAGAAGGAACCATTTCAATGACCGAGATGCCAGCAGACGTATTGACAAAGGGACTCGGTGCTTCAAAACACAATACCTGCAAGACAGCCTTGGGTATACGACCAGTCGATCAACGCTATACCAATTGAGGGGAAGTATTGGAAATGCAATTGGCACCGTATTGATCTACATTCATATATCGTATACCGAACCATCGATGGCCATAAAGACATCGTATATTGTAACGTCTCTAACGATTGTCCTTTTTTTCCTTCTTCTGCCCACCACTATCGCCAACGAATGTGTAAAACTTAATCTCTGTATTAATTATCCTAAATAAAAATATTATTCACTACTTTTCAAGCTAAATTACAACAATTACAGTACATGAGACAAGGATAAAAGTAAAAAGTAAAAGCATGTATATTTTCAAAAGTATTTACACACGTAATGTAGTATTTTAGTCCAAAAATTTTTAAATCATCAAAAAAATTTGTGAGAAACTGACTACAATTAAAAACAAGAAAGGAAGCTAACTTCGGCACGCCGAAGTTTGTATACGCTTGCAGATTGGTTTTCATATTTATATTATAAATTATAATGCCGAAAACAGACACTAAACAGAGTTTCATAACATTTTACCTATACTTATTATGTTTACAGTTTGACAGTTACAGTTATACATTCCCAGCTTTACATTTTCTCTAC